CTCCCCAAATGAGGTACTTGTCTTGATACTCTCTCAGCTGCTCAGACCCACATGCATTGTAGATATTAACCTGGGATTATAGTCAGAAAAGTATTACTGGACTAGAGACTTTCTATGAGTTGGTCGTCATGATGGGGAGGGCTGCAGAGTCCATGTCACATGGAAGAACCAGAGATGATCAGCCCAGAGAAGAGACGATCTTTTTGGGGATGAGAGGGTAGCTCGAGGTAGGGCACGATGATTGGCATTAAGTATCGGAATGGCTGTCATCTCAAAGAGGAAATAGATGAACTATTTTTTCTCTTGTTGGCAGAGTTATGGAAAACCAAATTTCAATATAAGAAACATTATAAAACCAGAGCTGTTCAACCAGAGAAAACGATTCCTTGCCAAGTAGTGCGTTTCTTGTTCCCAGACAAGTTCAAAGAAAGGGGATTTTGTAGAGAGGAATTTTGTTCTCGAAGGGAAGCTGAACTAATTTAAATTTATGACTAAGCTTCTGTGGTATTGCCCACCATCCAGTGCATGAAAAGTGTGTTCTAGTATTTTATCACTATGATAAATTCATGATTAACACAAAGATAGGAGGGCTATATCTTGGATTTATGATGGTGCTAAATACACACACACACACACACACACACACACACACACACAATAGGCGTCTCCACAAGCTACCTCAACTTTTTTCTTGCACAAGACAAGGTCCTCATTTAATTTAGGAAACTGAGATTTTACCTGCTGGGCAGCCTTTCATTCCTTCCATTCTCATATAACCGGGGCAACATTCATATAACACAGTCCTGTACATTGGAAAAAAATAAATATTAAAATGAACTATGTAGATGCATTTTGACATAAACTTGGCAAAACATATTACTTATTGACAAAATTTATTGTGAGTCCAGATATCAGGGTTTTTTTCCTAGTACCAAGTGTTTATATGAGTTTGATTTTTCTCTATAGCCTCATGATACTATGGAAAAGTTCCAGGATATTGATCCAGAAGAATGAAATTTGTGTCCCTTTTCCACTACTTGATAGACATGTGAACATAGAGCGAATCGTTTAATAAATTTGAGTCCCAGTTTCCCCAAGTATTTAATATGGATATAGTAACTTTGAGTAGATTACTCAAAGGGTAATTGTGAATCTCAAATAAAATAATGCTTTTGAAATCATTTTGTAAACTACACATTGCTAGAAATGTTCATTAGTATAAAGTTATTTAGAAACATCAACATTATAATCAATAAAATGTTACCTCATTGCTAACTAAAATAACGCTAGTTATGGTTTGAATTGTCAGTAGAGTTATTAATGTGATCATATTAAACTTTAAACTTTAAAATATGTTTATTTTCATTTTTGTCAAATTTGAAAAAACAAATTAAATAAGTTTGTTTCAAGTTATTAGAGTACCAAATTCAAGAAAATACGACACTGTTCAAAGTTAACAAAGAATGCATGTTCTATAGGCAATAAATAAGGCAACAGACCAGAAAATTGAAGCAAATATATACACAGAATAAATTTATTTAATTTCCTATATTTTGAGGGAAAGTAATAATCTAAAATTATTTATATAATAGCTTCCATTTTTTACTTTATTAATAATATAATCTTGATTTTCATTTTATCAAATTCCATAGAACATTTTCTGGACTTCTTCAGGATCTAACACAGGTATTATTTCTTAATTAAAATTTTACATAGTGATTTATGTTTCCTTTCAATAGAAATATGAATATAAATGTATCAAACAATAATTAGAAATAGGGTGACTATTACAAGCAAAAAATAAATACACACCATTGTATAATTTTTAATTGATAAATTTTTAATTGATAAATT